CCCCCCCCCCGCACAGACACACACCACCACATACATATATATATACGCTCAGCCCCATGACCTCTCCTCCGTCCGGTGGCCAGAGCCACCTCCTGCAGGTGGGCGTGCCCAACTTGATCCTTGTGCCGAAGAAGCGCGGCGAGAAGGCCCCCATGTCGAATGAGCTGCGCAAGTACGTCAAGAAGACCTACTTCACGCAGGACACCGTGCCGCACCCGTCGCTGCTGGCCACCACGATCCCGCCGCCCGGGAGTGTGGACCCGCTGGGCCGGCCGGCCGGCGCGGCGGGCACCGCCACCGCCACCGCCACCGCCGGCAAGCCCCGGTACACCTCCATGGACGAGGTGGCCATCGACCAGGACATCCTGCAATTGGAGTCCCTGCGCGAGCATCTGGTCCTCGGGACCGCCTACAATGCGGTGGTGCACCAGGCGGCCGAGGCTCCGGCCGGCGGCGGTGCCAGCGATGTGGTGGCCGATCGCCACATCGAGTACATGTTCCAGCTGTCGCACGCGGCTCGGCGCTTCCCGGTCAACGAGAATAGCATCAAGCTGTCCTTTGTGTGGTGCCTGTCGCTGAACAACAAGAAGAAGTACGCCATGACCAGCATGCATTACGAGCGTGCGGCCATCATGTTCAACCTCGGCACGCACTATGCCCAGGTGGCGTGCACCGCGCTGGCGGACGTGACCCCGGCCGCCACCGGCGCCGGCGGCTTCTCCCAGAGCGTCTCCAACACGGCCCTGTTCGGGGCCCTGCGCGACGCGTGCCACTCGCTGCAGGTACGCGTCTTTCTTGTCTCCCTCTCTCTCTCTCTCCCTCTCTCTCTCGGCTCCCTGCCGCCCTTGGGCTCGCTTGCGCCCTCGGCGTTGGGCCAAGTGTGTGATCTTGGCTTTGCCCTGCCCGGCGTTTGCTCACCTCCCATTTCCCCCGGCGTCCGCCTCCCCTCCCCTCCCGCCCGGAAACCCGGCGGCATGGCGTCCCTGTGTTCCTCGCCCGGTGTGTTCTGCGGGGGGGGGGGGAAAAAACCCACAGCAAGCTGCCGGGGTCTTCGAGGAGTTGTCCGACTACTCCGCCCGGTATCTGCCCTCCTCGCCGGCGGGCGATCTGTCGCGGCACTTCACCGGGGCCTTGGCTCGGCTGTGCCTGGCCCAGGCGCACGAGTGCGTTGCCCGGCGGTCGGTCATTGAGGAGTACAACTCCGAGCAGTCGGCCACCGCCGGCGGAGCAGCCGACACGGCCCCCTCTCGCCGGGCGGCCAGTGCCGCCACTCTGGTCACCAAGCTCCTGTCCACGGCCGGGGCCCTGTACGACGAGGCCACCGACTGCCTGCGCGAGGCGAAGAACGCCTACAAGGACCTGTCGCCGACCATCCAGGAGTGGATCACCTTCACCTCCATGAAGGCCCTCATGTACCACGCCTGGGCCCAGTGGCGTCTGTCGGTGGTGGACCGCAATGCGGAGCGGGTGCGTGCCCCCAACACCGAGCCCCGCCGGTGTGGCTGCCCGCCTGCTCGGCCGCCAAGTGTCGGCGTCTGCCGATCGCTCCGCCTCCCTTTGCCCATCTGACACACTTGACTCGCGCTTGCCTGCTTGCTTGCTCCCTGCGCCTCCGCCGCCCTTTTGCGGCATGTCGCGCCCCCGGTGGCAGATCGGCCCCGAGATCGCCCGGCTCAAGGTGGTCGTCGAGCACCTGAACATGCTGAACAAGATTTCCAAGTCCAGCCCCTCGCCCTCGCTGTCGTCCATCACCTCGCTCTCTGGGCTGGCCAGCCTCAGTCTGTCCGGCACGCCGTCGGCACAGTCGCCCCTGGGCATGCTGACGGCCGAGGCCAAGAAACTCCTGGCCATGGCGTCCGATCGCCTGGTCTCGGCCGAGAAGAACAACAACCTGGTTTACCACGACCCGGTGCCCGAGAATGTGCACAAGCTGGATGAGGGCCGTGACGACCGGATCTCCATTGTCCGCGCGGCCCAGCTGGCCAGCGTGCCGCCCACCGTGAAGCCGCTGTTTGAGAAGGTGCGTCAAAGTGTGCCGGTCTGCGTCGGCTTGTCATTTTCGCTGCGGCTCCCCCTCTCGCTCCTGCTCGCTGGGCGTGTGTGGCCCTCTTTCGGATGGGGGCCCCCTGCCACTCGGTCTCCCGCTCTCTCTCTCTCTCTCTCCCTCTCTTTCTCTCTCTCTCTTTCTCTCTCTCCCTTTGTATCGCTCCCTCCCGCGCACATACTCACACATGCACATGTGTGTAGCTCGTCTCTCCCCTGGTCAATGAGGCGGTCCTTCGGTATACCGCTCTCAAGAATGAGAAGATCAATGCCGAGGCCGGTCGTCTGGCTGAGGCTACTCGCTCCATGGGCCGGTACGTGGGTGGTGCCTGATCTTCTCCCGGAGGGAGGCAGCCCGACTTTTGCCCTTGCCTGCGTGCCCCATGTGCCAATGTGTGTGTCTCTGACAAGTGAGCAACAAAAAAAAATGGTCCCCCCACCGCCACTCAGCACTATCGCCGAGCTGAACCTTTCCTCGCTGCTGCACCTGAACTCCAACAGCGACCCCTCGCAGGTTATTCCCACCGCCCTGCTGGAGCAGTACGTCGCATGCCAACGTCGCTCTCTCTCTCTCTCTCTCTCTCGCCATTCCTTCCTTGTGGCAAATCCCGGAGCATGTGTATGCTTACTAACTCATATGGGCATCATTCTTCAGGGCACGGCAGATTCGCAACTCGGGCGGTGCCGCTGGCCTGGAGGAACGCTGGGTCAACCTCGGAAAGATGTCCGCCTCTTGCCGGAAGATTCTCAACGACGTGCGCTCCTCCTCGATCCCCCCCCCCCCACACACACACACATAGGCATACGCATACGCATACACACACACACACATATATATATATATGCCCATTGGTTCAATATCTGACCTGCATCCCCCCCCCCCCCTCGCCTCGCCTCGCCTCGACTGCGTCAATGCCCGCGCCAATCCCCATAGGCTCTTGCCCAGCTGGATGAGGAGGAGCGCTTCTCGCAGAACCTGCGGCACATGCATCCGACGCGCTACACGGCGGCCCCGTCGAGCGCGCTGACCGTGCGCCTGCGCGAGGAAATTCGCGATCGCATGTCTCTTCTGGACCGCGTGGCGGCCAGTGACAAGATCGTGCGCGAGCGCATCGACGCCGCCCGGCCGAAGATGCACATCATCGGCCGCGATGAGCAGGAGCTGCTGGCCTCGGTTCCCGGGTCTCGTGGCCAGCGAACCACTGACGCCTCCCAGAGCAGTGGCATTTCCGAGCTGCAGGTAAGTGTCCCCCCCCCCCCCCCCTCCCCCCCTTCATCCTTCTTTCTCCCCTCTCCTTCTTCCCATGCTTCGATCCGCTCCGAGATTGCACCCTGGTGTGGGAGCATGTATGTGGGATTCTTGCTGACAAGCACCACGTCCCCCTCCCCCTTGCATGGCCTTAGGCTCTGGTCGATCAGCATCAGCATATTCGCGCGACCCACAACAGCCTCATGCAGAAGATCCTCGACACCATGGATTCCGACGATCCGTGTACGTGCTTGAATGTGTGCATGTTCTAACAGAGAGAGAGAGAGGGGGGGGGGGGGGAGGAATAAGGACGCAGGTCAGGTCTGGGACCCCTTGGTCAATGACTGCGACATATGACTGACCACCAGACACACACATACACACACACGTACAGACCCCTCTCTGGCCGATGCCGATCGTGCCAGCAACATCGACAACATCAGCCCGCTGATGGCCATGCTGGAGACCCGCCTGGACCAGACGTACGCCGGACTGATTGAGAACATCAACCAGGAAATTGCCGCCACGGCCCGCTACTGCGAGTCGCTGAAGGACGCGCACAGTCGGTACACGGCCGCCGCCGGGCCGCTGCATCAGACGCGCGATCCGCTGCAGGTCTTCCTCCAGGACCTGGAGGCGGCCTGCTCCACGGTCAGCGTGCGCGAGGACATCGACAGCGGCTTGCAGTTCTATTCGGAGCTGGACCCGCTGGTCCGGCGCCTGGCCAGCACCATCGGCGACTATGTGGTCGGCCGGCATATGGAAGCTCGGGAGATGATCGGCCACGATGTGCCGGGTCTGCCGGCGGCCGGCGGCGGGTCGGCCGGCGGCGGGGCCCCGCATGGTCAGTCGCCCTACCAGCAGCCGCAGCCGCAGCAGCACCAGACCCCTGCGACCGGGGCCCCGGGAGGTGGCTACCCGCAGCATGGCCACCAGCAGCCGCCGCAGCAGCCTGCTCCCTATCAGTCGACCCCGTATCAGCAGCAGCCGGCCCAGCAGCAGCAGCAGCAGCAGCAGCAGCCAGTTGGGCCTGGGCATTACGCTCCCGCGGGCCCCGGTGGGTACCCCGGGCAACAGCAGCCTGCCGCCCCGCAGCAGCCGTATGGCCCGCCGGGTGGCGGCCACTACGGCGCCGCCCCGAGCCCGTATGGGCCCCCGGCCGCTGGCCATCCGTATGCTGGTGCCCCAAGCCCGTACGGCGCCCCGCAGCCGGGCGGTCCCCCGCCGTCTGGGCACTATGGCGGTGGTTACCCTGGCAGCGCCGGCACTCCGGGCGCCAACATCCCCTATGGCGCCATCCCGCACAACCCCTATGGCCCGCCCCCGGCACAGGTGTATCCTGGTGGCGGCTACCCCAACCAGCCCAACCGCTATTGAATGAGTCCCTCTCCTCCCATGGCCGAGGGTCAGTGTCGGTGTGGGTGTATGTACGGAGTCAGAAGTCGCACGCGGGGAGAGACAGAGGGAGCAAGGCGGCTGAGCAGCAGAGCATGCACGTGGCCCATTTGCGAGAGGTGGCGGCCTCTTCCGGACCCTCCTTCCCATCCCGCTGCCCCCCTCTCCTCCTGTCTTCTTCTCTCTGCAGAACATCCCGCCTTGCCCTTTCTAGCGGACCACTTCTCCCTCTCGCCCTCCCTCCGATGGTGACTCCCCTGCCGCTTCCCGGCAGGGGGGATGAACATCGCGCCCTACATGGGAAGGGGCTGCTCGCGGGGACCGTGCTGTCGGACCTGCACATACTATCAACAATAAAAAGCTACTCAATTATCGAGAGGATGATGCAGGGGAGAGGGGAGGAGGGGGGGGGGGGGGCAGGCTCATGGGTAGGCGCCCCTCCTTTTCGGGTGCCCCATGTGCGGAGCACTGAGGAGAGCGGGGAGGAGGGCGAGAAGAGGGACAAAGGTGGATGGTGCGCGTGCGGTGAAGGATGGCAAGGGAAAGGGGGCACGGGCCGAGAACTGAATGGGTCTGATTTTATTGTTGGAGATCTATGGTGCACAGGAGTGGAGGGTGAGGAAGGGGCAAAGGAGGCTGTCGCGTAAGAGTCATCCCTGACACGTTGAGGGGGGGGGGGGGGGGGCGCAAGAACAAGAAGTGGCCCTCTCAATCGTTCTTCGGGCGGATGCGCAGGGCCTGGATGCCGAGGTAGCCGCAGAAGGCGTTGACCACGCGAACAGCCGAGTACACGTAAAGCAGCACATGGAGAACGGCGAAGAGAACGATCATCTGCGACTCGGTGGTCGCATCCCAGAAGGGCTCGCTGAAGAAGGGGGAAAGTCAGTTACGCTGGCGCGGGAGGGGAGGCTGGCCGGCCGGGGGGAGACCGGATCGCAAGCAGGAAGACCAATGGTGTGCACGCACAGGCCGAACAGCTGCATGGAGAAGGTGTTGACGAAGAGAACAAGCAGCGGGATGTACTGGACCGTGGCCCAGGGGAAGGGCTGGCGGGTGACATACGCCTGGGTGATCTTGGACTGGGGTGGATGAGAGGGCAGGGGGGGCGAGTGAGGGGTTTGCACATGGTGCGAAGCAGCGGGCGAACGAAAGACCGGGGCGGAACGTACAGCATGGCGACCGAACGCGATGCCGGCCATGAGCACGAAAGACACCGCATTGTTGACGATGATGCGCTGGTCATTGGCAAATGCGATGGAGAAGACCAGCACGAAGTACACAAGCATGGGAATGATCCCGAGCAGGGCCCCGGCGGAGCTACGGCCCTTGGCGGCATAGTGCCGACGGATGTTGGACACACTGAGTCGGGGGACGGGGGACGGGGGGGCACACGGGACGCCAGGGAGGTCAACCAGCGTCAATACACACGACGGCGGCGGCGGTGGCGGCGGCGGCATCAGAAGGAGGCAGGAGGAACCCAGAGACGAGGCAAGGCGCAGGCGCAGACATCGGAAGAGGCGAGGGGGGAAAGAAGCCCCAGTGACAGCACGCACCTCAGGGGGAGCTGGATGACAATGATCAGGGTGAAGAGGAAGAGGAACATGACATCGGTGAAGGCAGGCCCGGCCTCCGGGTCGCCGTACTCGAAGGCGTTCGAGACGCCGGCCCAGAACTGACCGATGGCGTTCTTCGAGTCCCACCAGCCGCCAGGCAGGAACTGCGAGATCGGCAGCGTCCAGATCGCCGTTCCGAAAACCCCAGACAGGGCAATCAGCAGCGTGGCCATGATGTTCCCCTCAGTCGGGCCGTTAATGTAGCCCAGGTACAGCACGCCGGTGTGGTACTCCTCCCAGGTGGACAGATAGAAGGGGCCCACGGCTTCGAGCAAGGGAGAAGGGGGGAGGTTAGTGGAGGACAGAGAGAGAGAGAGAGAGGGAGGGAGGGAGGAAAAGGGGGGACAGCGGAAAGGGATGCTGCGTGCGTGCATATGCAGCGCAAGCCAAGTGACGCCGCACGGCGACCCATGCGCCGCCAGCAGCTGCCAAGACAAGGCGCGACCGAACGTACTCAGCAGTAGCAGGGCCACCGTGCGCCAGGTGAAGCCGAGGCCCATGGCCGCAGCCTGGACAATGGCACCGAAGGAGCAGTTCAGCGCATCGACACCATGATCGAAGAGCTCACCAAGGGGCGAAGAGGACCCAGTCCGGCGGGCCTGGCGGCCGTCCACATTATCGAGAGTCTGGTATAGGTGCAGGGCAGCGGCGAAGCTATTTCCCGGTGTGTCAGTCCGCATGGGCAAGCAAGTGAGGGGGCTTGGAAGGAAGGGTGGACATACAAAAAGTACACCCACTGGAAGGCGCTGTTCTCCTCCAGGTCAGGGAAGAGGAGGAAGGTCAGCAGCAGGCTGACGATGATGGCGCTGAATCCGAGCAGGGTGATCAGGTTGGGGCTGTGTGTGTGTGTGTGTGTGAAGGGAAGGAGGGAGCAGGGAGATGGAGGTTGCAGGTCAGTGCCGGCGGGAGAATACAACAGGAGCGGAGGAGAACCGATCTTGGCCGAAGGAGGGGGGGATGCGGAACGCACGCCATCCACATGGGGAAGAGGGTGGCAGCCCAGTCCCAGTAGGGCTTCATCACATATTTTGTCACCGGGGACTTGTCCACGGCGCCATACTTGTATGAATCCAGGCCCTTGAGGGCCTCCGGGTGGATGCCCAGATCGAGCATGCCCTGGGGAAGCAATCGCATGGCGGGATGGGGGGGGGGCGAGGAGCGGCGGGGATGCGAGGAAACAGCAAAAATACAAGGAGCGAGGAGTGCGGCTGAGGGATGCGAACGTGCCGTCGAGCACCAGGGCAAGCCATAAAGGGCCGATCGACGGGTGTTGAGGGAGGGGGGAGCGGGGGGAAGGTGGTGGAGGGGCGCAACACCGCCACGCAGACGCAGATCCCGCCGGGGGAGGTGGCGCGGGGGAGAGAACTGGGGCAGAGGTGGGGGGTCAGCTGGCGCGCATGCTCGCGCGCCCGGTCGCGGCGTCACTCGCATGGTGGTCGGCCGCGCCCCGGGGTGCCTCGCCCCAACCCCCCCCCCCCCCCCCCCCCCCCCCCCCCCCCCGGCGCATGCCGGTGGCCAAGGTGGGGCGGTTTCTTCCGGCCGTGCGTGTTCGACCGGTGCCAGGCAATTTCCAGGATGGCGGTCGGCGCGCGCGCGCCGCCCCTGGGAAAATGTGCCGGCCGCGGTGAAAATGGCCGACCTGCCAACGGGGCAGTCGCGCTGCCCCTGGCCACCTTTGTGACACCCGCCGGACGGGCCTGCTTCGCGGCCCGGGCGCGGGGGGCCGGGAGCGCAGGGCGCACGGGGCTCTGGGGGTCGCTGCGCGGGCGCAGCAGCATGATGACCCCTTTGGGCGGTGCGGTGCGGCGCGGCGCGGTGCGGTGCGGCGCGGGGCCCAGGCCCGGGCGGGGAGGGCGCGGATCTGCTCCTCAAACGCCCAGGCAAGCGGATGGGACGCACAGCCCCGCCTCCCTGCCCGGGTCCCGGGGACGGGTGAAGAGACAGGCCCAGCAAAGCACCATCCCCCTCGGCCGGGACAGGGCATGCCGCCAGCCGGGCCGTATATATGTCGCGCTCAATAAAATACGCCGGCTTTTTCCGCACTAGCGCGGGGCCGGAGTCGGAGCCCGATCGGCCCGCTCCCCCCCCCCCCCCCCC